CAGAAGACCCCAATTTTTTCACTTGAATGCCAGGAGTGACAGATGCAAGAAGTGATGGAGCTGGAAAAGACAATTCAAATTTTGTCAAAATGATGGAATACCAAAGAAACAAATTAAAAGTTTCACTTACATAGTACACCATCAACAGCAGGGAAACTTTCACTCTTTTCCATGCCTTACCCACTTATCATTCCACGAGATCTAACAATACATGACACTAAGGCTGTACAAACTGGGTTTCATTGCATTCAGAAAATAAACATTACACCATGCAGAGGAAAGATGCATCTCTCAATACAGTAGAATCTCATTACAACAAAATTTTCATCATAAAAAACTTTTCCTCAAATCCAAGCAAAAAGTTTATGAAGTCCATGTTAAAACAATCTTGTAACAAGCTACCCAATCACAGTAAAACAAAATTTTTTGCAGAATTTTCAATGCATTTTCCCAACAGAAATTTCCTGACAAAGGCAGGCATATTCTTAAAGTTCTGAATCCAAATGTGACTGACTGGTTCTTTGTAGCTTCAAAGGAAGCTGTAATCAGTGATAAACATGCTCCTAAATGGTTCCACACATAATCCCCTCAGAATGAAGAGATTATTAGTAATGGAATGAATGACGGAATCTACTTTTTTCTTAAGAAAACCACCCAGTTAAACAATAAAAATTTTAAGAATACCAGAAGAGCAAAATCTCATCATGGGCACTTTTGATGTTAAAATGTTCTGTCATTAATTTTGAAAATTTTGTGAGAACAAATTATTCAGGATAACATAATTTTTCTGAAGTCCCCAACAGTTCGCTATAAAAAGATGTTCCTGTAAATGAATCTCATGAAACACTCCACAAAATGAGAAGGAAAGCATGCATGCTAACTTGTGTCCAATTCCCTGCATTAATTGCAATCCCTTTGTCCTATTCCACCTGTTCTGCAGAATAAAAAAAGATTAACAAAATCTTGCATTCACAAATTTGACATCAACTAGTCACAGCACATCTAAAGACAAGATTAAATTTAACAATACTGTACTTTTCTCCACCACAAAATGTACAGGCACAGAAAAAAAAGCTGTTTCTTATGAATCTCTGTAGCCATTTTTGCAGCAGTGTCAGCTGTAATAAAAAAATGAATAATTATTCCATTTGAGCTCATGCAAGAGAAAGCGTGTTATCTTCATGCAGTAAGTTTGACCCAATGTAACCCCATCAATTGATTAGTTGGAAGAACCCCCAAACTGACAAGCAGAAAAGCATACTCTGGCACCAACGAGTACAATGATAAAATAAATGAGTTTAACATGTTAAGAAAATAAGCACTGACGCAAATGTATTCACAGTTCCAGTTTTGAGTGACCATCACAGAATTATTCAACAAAAATGATTCCCACCGTTGCCCCAAAATTCGCAATCCCTTTCAAGAATCTGAGGATCTGCTGATCCCGTTTCTGCCACAATAAAAACTTTATCCCACTAGAAATTCTCTCCACGTATCACAAAAGCTGGACTTGTTATGCCAATGATATTCTCTGTTACAATAACAGTAAAATCTCGTTACGAAGAAATCTTTTTCCAGGTCCCTGCCCGAAAGCCGTTCAAATCGGTTCATAACGTATTGATCTTTAAATGAAAAGTTGCTTCTCATTCGATTCCACTGTCCTAAATTTTCTTGCCATTGAACTGAGGTTACATTAACATATATCTTTTGACCCCACTCGATCATATTGCATGTTTCTCACTATCCGTTTGAACACCGGGTATACGATTCTAAAATATTGCGAGTGAAATAGATCACTTTAAATTACTCCTCGTTTTTCATGATATTCCGATACAATATCTGATTCTTGTACATTTCCGAAAAAACTGAATATTTTCTCTCGTGGAACGTCTGAGAATCAAAATTCGGATGGAAAACCTTGGCTTCCGGAGCCATGTCCCGCATGACAGTCTGCAACTCTTTGACGGGATCGGAAGCTCTCGCACCCAACATGGCAGCTCCCAGCAGCACTGGGCTAAAATTAACCTCGCACCAACCGGGTACAATAACTGGCACGCCCAAAACGTCAGCGTGAGTCTGAATAAACAGCGATCCTTGCGTTAAACCACCACACATCACAACAGTGTCGAACGAGTCATGCCCGCCGAGGATCATTGCCTCCACAATGGATTTGGTGGAATATGCCAAGGCCTGGACAGCAGCGAGGTACAGACGAGCCAAATCCACTTCACTCGAGCTCAATGTTAATCCACAGATCATGCCTTTCATTGAGGGATCTGCATGCGGAGCCCTGGAAAACAAGCAGAATAGGAATAGGATTTAGAAATTTTACTGAATGAGAATAAAGTACTGCACAGTGAGACCACCAAATGTGGACAACTTGACAGGCAGACAATTCAACCTATGGACACTTATTTACCTATAAAAATGCATAAAAAAGGCCTAATATGCAAACACTGACTCAACATGTGGACATTTTTGCACTAAAATTGCAAATAAGTTGAAGGCCAAATTACAAGAATTATATTTCCAACCCTCAGATCTATGCAATAAAAGTTTTTTTGAAATTTCTTAAATCATTTTACCATCCATTTAGCTAATTTTGAAAAAAAATTATGAAATGTTTCATTATCTTTTGGGTTTGTGGAAGTGATTAGATTTTTTCCCATTCAAGTCTATGGGAAAATCCAATGTGGTTAACAAAATGTTGTCAGGAACAAATCAAGTTTGTTAACAAGGGGTTTACTTTACTGTATTCCAAATGACTTTACTTTAAAAATGACACTTCCCCAATCATCACAAACCAAATACAGCAACCTAACCTCACAAGAAACCAAGAAAGTAAAACATTCTTACAACAAACTTTTTGAGAATTCAGAAAAAGTTTGATGCGTGGAATATTTTTTTAAAGAGTAACAAGAGTTACACAATTCGAGACTGGAAACAATGTTCACATCAGACATGCCTATAATCTATCAGATTTTGCTTTTTGGCTCTCAGGTTTTCAATTATTGATGGAAAATTGAGTGATCTTCTTGAAAAAGATTGGATTTGATCATGCATTCCAACAATGGGACCAATTCTGGGGAGAGTGATGCTTGGAAACACTTGGAAGCTTGTTTGTCATTGATCACAGCTTCCATGCATGTTACTAGAGCCAGCCAGTCACATTCGGGATACAAAATTTCAGACTGTGCTTGCCTTAGTCAGAAAGTTTAAACTTGAAAATGTATTCAACATTCCTCGAAAAAGTGTGTTACACTGAAAACCATTTTTCAAGCAGATACAGTATTCACTGTACTGAACAATATTCCACCTTAAATGCAGCTTCACTAGCCTGAAAACACCAAACTAGACCTCAGTGAAGTTCAACGGATACGGACGAAGATTCTAACAATAGACAGTTACTCTGAATAACAATTTTAATCGCAACAGAAACCATTTCAGCTACCATCTTTTTCAAATAACCAAACTCTCATTGCCAAGAAGGAATCAGTCGCAGACCTTGAATAACAGAACTTGAACTTCTCGTGGTTCATCATCGGTCACCCGCGCCGTCGCGACACATCTTGGAAAACCAAACGCATTCCTTGAAGACACTGTACTCTTACTTCTGAGCCTCACCGTTAGGAAATTATGCATGCTACCTTGGGGATTACTGAACAACCAGCGCAATAAAAATAAGAAACGGAGCCTACCATGAAAATACATTTCCGGGTGCTTCTTTGAATATTTTCGATGCGCATCAATGGCGACACAACAGGACCCAGACAGAAGTGAAATAAGCGATCACTAACTCATCCATTGAACCTTGGATTGTTGGTTCACAACACAGGAAAAGCCGTGAACTGGAAAAACTGCACCACCATCGCCATTACTGCTTTTGAGTAATTAGAGCCTTCTGCGAGGTGTCACAACATTACAAAGAAAATTTTTAAGTTCCTTAAAAATTGATAGAATGTTTCGAAGTACAGTCGAAGTCAAACCTCTTCGACTCAAATTTCAAGGGACCATCAAAAAACCTTTCGAGTCTGGGAAACATGTCTTTTTGTAGTGGGAAACGATGAAGAATTACAGGAAAGTGTAATTATTGATGTTCTAAGCATTAAATAGCTTCTTTATTGAGTTGACAGGATGCCGAAGTTCGTTTGAGGCAAGGGTTCCTTTGCCTAATTAGCCTTTCACTTCCCTCCGAAACGCATCTAATATAATTTATATTGCTTTTCTCTTGTGTCGATAAAATAATAGCGAAAAGACCTTCAGAAAATTTGAGCTATGGAGATTTGAAGGGGGAAAGTCTTCGAGTTAGAGAGGTTCCCAATGCATTGTTTCCAAAATTAAGACAAGGACTTGAACATTGTTCAACTTCGGGAGGTTCAAGTTACTGAGGTCCAACTGTACCATAATCTCACACACACGGTTTCTGAAAAAGGCAAAACTTACCTGTTCCCGTGGAAGTCAGGGTACACATGCAAGTGCGTTGTCAACTCATGCCCCGGTACTGAACGCGATTTTGCTTCACAGTCCAGAACATCCTCAAGATATTTCTGCGGACTCAACCCAAGCTCTTGTGCCTTCAACTGAACATCACTGAAAGCAGGGTGTGTTGATAACACATGCATTAACAATACACCCGACGCAGACTGCCCGCCTTCGAGTGTCCAAAATCCGGGTAAAACAACGCTCTTGTACGGTCCCCAAACCCCCGTGGGAAACGAAGGCTCAGGAGAAACAGTGAGGTGACAAGAGGACGTTCCACACACCATGACGAGCCTTCGACTAATGCTAATAGGCATATCTGGCCTGCCTTCGATGTTAAGCCGAGCTGAGATTGAACCCAAACATCCTGCATGCGCGTCAATTATCCCGGATCCAACACGGATGCAAGAATCTTCGGGAAACCCCATTTGCGCCTTTGCATTGACCGACAATTCCCCCAAAAACTTCCCGGGGTCTTGAAAGGTATCACAAATCTTCTGCATGTCTTCGGGTTTGAGCTGCAACACGTCTTCAACAAACGCCGAGTCCCAAGCGAAGCTTTCCGCATTCGGTAGTAGACCCCATTTGCAAACCAATGAGCACAAGTTCCTCGCTTCTTTCCCAGTAGCTTTCCACGTGAGGTAATCTGGTAAGTCGAAAAGGTGTTCGATTCGTTGCCATTGAGCTTGATTCACGTGTTTCGTCAACCAAATCAGCTTCGGGGTTTGCATCTCTGGAGATATATGCTTCCCAACGTACGTCAAGGTCTTCTCCGAAGACGAATGCTTATTAATGGCATCAGCCTCTTCAGTGGCTCTATGATCCATCCACATAATAATATCCTGCACGAAATCATTCTCCACCTCAGACACAGTTGACAACGTATTCAAATCGAAGACTTCGGCCTTTTCGTGAGGAATGATAGCCATAGAGCATGTGGCATCAAAACCAATTCCACGGACTCTTGCTCTGTTCGAACTGAAACCAGGCGCGTCCAACAGATTTTTGACCGCGACACAAACAGCATTCCAGATTTCTTTAGACGATTGCTGATAATATCCCAATTTCGGGGAATACGAGTTGATTTCGTGAGCAGCATAATTCAACATTTTCCCGGAAAACGTGAAAACGCCCGCCCGAACGCTGTGACTGCCAACATCAATCCCAACTGTCAAAGGATCATCGCATGGTCCCATACCTGCCAAGTACATTAAAAGAAAAAATCCATTAGTTCTGAAGAATGATCCACACAGAAATAAAACTCAAGGGAGTACTCAACGCAGAATGCTGCACCAAAAATACTAGTGGGACTTTTTTTAGTGAAAGCATCAAACATTGACCTTGATAAGCATTTTCCCATGACTGAACATTATGGTACAACTTCCACTCAACACAGCTCCATTCAACCCTACCTCTTTCACTCCACCCCTATAGGAGCCCCAGCCTCTCATTGAGTGACTTCAACTGTAATGCTTTAGCGGTGTAAAATGTAAATGGATATTCCAAGGGACAAATAACATAGTGCACATATAAAACACCTTTTTTAAATAACTAAAAATATATTGTAATTTCCTGTAATCTCTGTACCTCATTCCTAGACCACACTACCATCCAGACAAATCTTAGGACAAGTTCATAATCACAATGACCTACCAGAAACTGTGAATTTTATTTTTCTGCAATCTGCTGAAACTGATGTTGGGAGGAGGTTTGTTAGGTCAGGTTATGTTATGTTAGTTGCAAATATCTTTTAATTAACATAACCTGACCTAACCTAACTTTACCCAACCGCCTCCCAAATATCAATTATATTTTAATTAACATAAACTGACCTAACCTAACTTTACCCAACCACCTCCCAAAATCAGATAAAAATAATTACAGTATTTTCTGGTCATGCTTGGAAGTCATTTGCACAAATCAGCAGTAGTGATGGAATACCTTTGAATTTGTTTACCACTTTTGGCAACCACTAAACACTTCTCATAAAATAACAAGAATGAAACATTAAGAATGCTGCAAGTTCATGTATTGAATAGTATGCTATCTTCCTACACCATTCTTCAACATGTAATTCCTATCTGCAAGCATACGCAGTTCATGAAGTCACTCATTTGTGGCGCTGAGGGAGGGAGTGGAAGGAACAGCCCTTTAGGGGAGCAGGGTGGAAGTGAGTTGCATTGAGTTTGAAAGTGTACAATGACGTCCAGTCACTGCGTTTTTCATCATCAAAAAGGTTGGCTCTATTGAGCTTTATAGGGATGCCAGCTAAACACTCTGTGTGCGTCCATGCGCGCGGCCATTATTTTACCCCTGCTGCCCTCTATCTGTACTTTGTTTTCCTACAGTTTCCGAACGAACGCCTCCAGCAACCCTGGCAAAGAGTGACTTCAAAGGCTACCTCACAGTACCACACAAACCAAGCAGCATTGCATCTGCATCAAATCACCGTACCTCTCAAAGTGTCCTTTCTTTGTGTGTCTTTGGGTGTGGGAAGAAATTAAAACTGATGGTGTTTTAAATTGAATGTTTTATTTTTAAATCCAACAAGCTGGGGGTACACTGTAGAGTCCATTTTTATTGATTTGATAAGAAAATGCTTCACAACAAGCACAGGGCATTTTATTATTTGTTGTTGAAAAACTTCATGTATTCCACTTGAATGATAAATACATGACGCGGCCAGTAAAAATACTGTTGATTCCTACACACGCGAATCATTAAGAAAACATGACATGATGCGGCCAGTGAAAATACTGTACATGAGTCCAACACACAACGCAACTCAGTAATAAAACATGACGCAGCTCAGTAAAAATACATAAATACATGATGAGGCCAGTAAAAATACTGTACATGAGACCTACACACGACGCGACTCAGTAATAAAACATGACATGGCTCAGTAAAAATACATGACATGACGCGGCTAAAGAATCCTACACACAATGTGGCTCAGTAAATGATTGATGAAATATACAGGTACATTTTTAATACTGTACCCAATGTTTTGGATTTTCTTTGAGTTGCTCCAAAATAATACACACAACACGGCTCAGTAAAGTCCAAACACAAAAATACACAATGCCACTCAGTAAAAAGACACAACACGGCTCAGAAGTCAGAAGTCCTACACACAACACAGCTCAGTAATAATACATGACGCGGCTCAGTAAAAATACATGACCAGCTCAGTAAAAATACATGACGCGGCTAAAAAGTCCTACACACAACGAGGCTCAGTAAATGATTGAAGAATTATACAGGTAAATTTTTTAATACCCAATGTTTTGGATTTTCTTTGAGTTGCTCAAAAATAATAATACATGCAATAGCAAAATACATGACAAAAATCCTATCACACAAATGTAAAGTCCAAACACAAAAATACACGATTCAACTCAGTAAAAATACATGAATGCGGCTCAAAAATATAAGTCCTACACACGACAGCTCAGCAAAAATACATGACGCGGCTCAGCAAAATATATGACGCAGATCAAAAGTCCAACACACCACGATGCGAAATACATGACGCAGCTCAGTAAAAATACATGACGTGGCTCAACAAGATGCGGCTCAGCAAAATACATGACAAAAATCCTATCACACGAATATAAGTCCAAACACAAAAATACACAATGCGGCTCAGTAAAAATACATAAATGCGGCTCAAAAATCCTTTCACACAAATAAAAGTGAAAACACAAAAAAACATGACGCGGCTCAGTAAAAATACACAACGCAGCTAAGAAGTCAGGAGTCCTACACAGGATGCGGCTCAGTAAAAATACATGACGCGGCTCCAAAATAGAAGTCCTACACACACATCTCAGCAAAATACATGAGACGCAGCTCAAAAGTCCTAGTACATGACGCGGCTGAGCAAAAATACACAATGCAGCTCAGCAAAATACATGACCCGGATCAAAAGTCCTTACACACCATGATGCAAAATACATGATGCAGGTCAGCAAAATACATGACGCGGCTCAAAAGTCCTAGTAAATGACATGGCTCAAAAGTCCTAGTAAATGACGCGGCTCAGCAAAAATACACAACGCGGCTCAGAAGTCAGAAGTCCTACACACAACGCAGCTCAGTAAAAATACATTAAGCAGCTAAAAAGTCCTACACACAACCGGGCTCAGTAAATCATTGAAGAATTATACAGGTACATTTTTTAATACCCAATGTTTTGGATTTTCTTTGAGTTGCTCAAAAATAATCATGAGCAATTCCAAGTCATAAAAATTTATTTTTGAGTTAATATTTAAATGTGTACTCTAAGATTTATTTTCTTGCTCAAAATTGTTGTATATACTCAAGCAGTCAAAAATTAAGATTTGTGTGCTTCATATACTGCTGGTCTTGCAAACAGTAAACTTTGTTTGATGAATACAAACGCTGTTCTTTCATGTCCTTCATGGCGTGTTTGTGGTATAGTAGTTTTTTTTTTTTGCTAAAAAAGTTATGGATATGTTCCCGTGAGAAACTATTCCTGCTTTTCCCTTCTTTTAATCAATTCCAATTTTTCATTGACAGTGTTTAGCGCTGGCCAGTTTTTTCTGGTAGGTTTTTCTGATATGCAAACTCTTTTGTCGGTATTTTCTTAAGTACAGGATTTCATCCAGCACCCGGAACATCATAATTTCAGAAACGATTGCAAATGTCCTTGTGGTGTGGTAGGCAAGCTGTATGGTATACCGGGAAATAACGGGACTTGAAGCTGGTGATCTCTGCACTTTCCCTGAGGGGGTTGGCTTTGTAGCCATGGTTAAAAGGGACCAGTCAAAGACTTGATCTCCCCCTCATTTGCCTGCACTTAACCCACCCAAAAAATGCAGAAAAAGGGTCACAGGGATGCGGCTCGCCGCCCCTCCTGTCCTGCATCAGAAGACAGCTAGCATAGTCCGTATTTTGGGCACACATTTTTCTTGGAAAACCACAATGCTGCAAAAGAGTATTTCTAATATATTAAATATTTAAATTGAGCTAACCTAACTAACCTAACCAACCTAAAAAACCTAACCTAACTTAAAAACCTAACCTAACTTAAAAACCTAACCTAACCTAACCTAACTTAAAAACCTAACCTAACCTGACCTAACTTAAAAACCTAACCTAACTTCAAAGGATATTTCTAATATATTAAATATATAAACTAACCTAACCTAACTAACCTAACCTAACCTAACCTACCCCAAAAATACAATGAATTGAATAAATATGCTGAATTTAAAAAATTAAAATTAATTCAAAAATTCTTTGAATAAACTAACCTAACCTACACCAAAAACCCAATACTAAACTAACCTAACCTAACTCACCCAACCTACCCCAAAAATGTGATGAATCACATAAATGTTTTTAATTTACAAAATTAAAATTAATTCAGATGTTATTTTACAAGTATGCACAGAAAGGGGTATCTGAGGGCACAATGTCCCATGAACCAAAAATATCAGGAAGGAAGAGGAGGGGAGCTGAGCAGGGCAGAAAGTTGACAACAAAGGACCCCTGCCCCACCCCTTTTCCTAATATCATTACTGGGTGTAAATGAGTTCCTTGACATCCTCACTGTTGCTGCCTGGCTGTTTGTGTCCCAATGAAAAAGAAGGGACAAATTTCCCGAAATTTGGGAAATACCAGCACATTGTACATATGGGCACACTCTGAAGGGAGAAGAATTTCCTTCCATCGAATCTAAAAGTTGGGGTCATATATCCATATGCGGAAAATAAATGACCAGATGCTGGTGAAATATACAGAAATATACAGACTCTACTGTCTATACTGTATTTAGTAAGTTCAAATATGCTAGGTTCTTATAAGTTGCTCAAAAATAATCGTGAGCAACTCCAAGTTAGATAAATTTATTTTTGAGTGATATTTAAATGTGTATTCCAAGATGTATTTGCTTGCTCAAAATTGTTCTATATACTCCAGCAGTTGAAAATTAAGATTTGTGTGCTTCATACTGCTGGTCTTGCAAGCAGTAAACTTTGTTTGATGAATTACATTCACATTTTTCATACAACTTCAGATTACATGTGATTGATTATCATCTGAGTCAATTTAATGCATGAAAACATGCAATGTCAGATTATGTGTGATTGATTATCATCTGAATTAATTTAATGCATAAAAACAAGCCTGGTAATAAAAAGCATGCCAAAAGCACCTCCAGAACTGATTAATTAAGGTATTAAAAG